CCTCGGGCCGGCGATGGTTCATTCAAATTTCTGCCCTATCAACTTTCGATGGTAGGATAGAGGCCTACCATGGTTTCAACGGGTAACGGGGAATAAGGGTTCGGTTCCGGAGAGGGAGCCTGAGAAACGGCTACCACATCCAAGGAAGGCAGCAGGCGCGCAAATTACCCAATCCCGACACGGGGAGGTAGTGACAATAAATAACGATACAGGGCCCTTTCGGGTCTTGTAATTGGAATGAGTACAATGTAAATACCTTAACGAGGAACAATTGGAGGGCAAGTCTGGTGCCAGCAGCCGCGGTAATTCCAGCTCCAAGAGCGTATATTAAAGTTGTTGCAGTTAAAAAGCTCGTAGTTGAATTTTGGGGCGGCCGCGGAGGTCCACTTCTTTGTGAGTACTTTTTGCGGCGGCCCTTCCATGGCCCTTAATCGGGCCATAGTTACTTTGAGTAAATGAGAGTGTTCAAAGCAGGCAAGCGCTTGAATCTTTTAGCATGGAATAATAAAATAGGACGATGATTCTATTTTGTTGGTTTCTAGGACCATCGTAATGATTAATAGGGACGGTCGGGGGCATTAGTATTCAGTTGTAAGAGGTGAAATTCTTAGATTTTCTGAAGACTAACTACTGCGAAAGCATTTGTCAAGGACGTTTTCATTAATCAAGAACGAAAGTTAGGGGATCGAAGATGATCAGATACCGTCGTAGTCTTAACCATAAACTATGCCGACTAGGGATTGGGCGACGCCTCATGTACATGACGCGCCCAGCACCTTACGAGAAATCAAAGTTTTTGGGTTCTGGGGGGAGTATGGTCGCAAGGCTGAAACTTAAAGGAATTGACGGAAGGGCACCACCAGGAGTGGAGCCTGCGGCTTAATTTGACTCAACACGGGGAAACTCACCAGGTCCAGACACAATAAGGATTGACAGATTGAGAGCTCTTTCTTGATTTTGTGGGTGGTGGTGCATGGCCGTTCTTAGTTGGTGGAGTGATTTGTCTGCTTAATTGCGATAACGAACGAGACCTTAGCTTTTATTTGCCCGGCCTAACCTTGTGTTGGGTGCGGGCCATAAAAGGACTATCGAATCCAAGTCGATGGAAGTTTGAGGCAATAACAGGTCTGTGATGCCCTTAGACGTTCTGGGCCGCACGCGCGCTACACTGACGGAGCCAGCGAGTTTGCCTTAGCCGAGAGGTTTGGGAAATCTTGAGAAACTCCGTCGTGCTGGGGATAGAGCATTGTAATTTTTGCTCTTCAACGAGGAATTCCTAGTAAGCGCAAGTCATCAGCTTGCGTTGATTACGTCCCTGCCCTTTGTACACACCGCCCGTCGCTACTACCGATTGAATGGCTTAGTGAGGCCTCTGGATTAAATCCATGGCTGGGGCGACCCGGCCGTGGGTTGAGAAACTGGTCAAACTTGGTCATTTAGAGGAAGTAAAAGTCGTAACAAGGTTTCCGTAGGTGAACCTGCGGAAGGATCATTAATATTGTTTTACACCCTTTTAGGCACAAACTCTAAATCTTAACCGTCAATAACTTTATCAAAAAACTTTCAACAACGGATCTCTTGGTTCTCGCATCGATGAAGAACGCAGCGAATTGCGATACGTAATATGACTTGCAGACGTGAATCATTGAATCTTTGAACGCACATTGCGCCCCGGGGTATTCCCCAGGGCATGCGTGGGTGAGCGATATTTACTCTCAAACCTCCGGTTTGGTCCTGCTTCGGCCTAATATCAACGGCGCTAGAATAAGTTTTAGCCCCAGCCTTTTTCCTCACCCTCGTAAGACTACCCGCTGAACTTAAGCATATCAATAAGCGGAGGAAAAGAAACCAACAGGGATTGCCTCAGTAACGGCGAGTGAAGCGGCAAAAGCTCAAATTTGAAATCCCCCGGGAATTGTAATTTGAAGAGATTTGGGTCCGGCCGGCGGGGGTTAAGTCCACTGGAAAGTGGCGCCACAGAGGGTGACAGCCCCGTGAGCCCCTCTAAAGCCTCTACCCCAAATCTCCAAGAGTCGAGTTGTTTGGGAATGCAGCTCTAAGTGGGTGGTAAATTCCATCTAAAGCTAAATACCGGCGAGAGACCGATAGCGAACAAGTACAGTGATGGAAAGATGAAAAGCACTTTGAAAAGAGAGTGAAAAAGTACGTGAAATTGTTGAAAGGGAAGGGCTTGCAAGCAGACACTTAACTGGGCCAGCATCGGGGCGGCGGGAAACAAAACCACCGGGGAATGTACCTTTCGAGGATTATACCCCTGGTCTCTATTTCCATGTTGCCCCGAGGCCTGCAATCTAAGGATGCTGGCGTAATGGTTGCAAGTCGCCCGTCTTGAAACACGGACCAAGGAGTCTAACAATCATGCAAGTGTTTGGGCCCAAAACCCATACGCGCAATGAAAGTAACCGGAGCGAACCTTCTGGTGCAGCTCCAGCCACACCGAGACCCAAATCCCGGTGTGAGCAAGCATGGCTGTTGGGAC